GGTAGGTGAGCGGTAGGTGAGCGGTAGGTGAACGGTAGGTGAGATGTGGTAGGTGAGCGGTACCACATTACAAAAGTGTCATTTTACCTTAGTTCATTAATTGGGGTCAAAATAACATATAGTTTGAATTCAACAATTCCCATATTCAACAATGGCAGATGGGTCTCTAAAGCAAGATGAAATCTTAATGGTCAGATATTATTCTTTAATAAAGTTAAATATCAAAGTATAATTTAAATCAAGTGTGATTCACTTGAGACATTGAATTTTTTTATCAACTAAATCAACTGATACCCTTTTATTAACTAAATCAACTGATACCCACCGTTCTTGTCCTTTATTTTGTCTGTACTCTAAAGCTTCCAGGATTGCAGTCATTGAAAAAATTTACAGAACCAAATATAAGACTTAACCCTGATATTGACTCGTTGAAGTTGATGCTGATATTCACCTGCTTATTCAGTCAAACTAATCTATCCATCTTTTGCAATTTCGGCCACCCAATTCTTAGGTATTAACATATCTAATACCTAAACTTCACTTTTTACATTTATACCACTCAAATCTTTCATATTACATAAAGATTATTACTATTTTAACCTTTAAAAAGTGAAATACACCCTTTCATTCATAGGTAAGCTGGCCAATATATAAAAATTGAAGATGAGGTGTTAGATATGTAAATACATAAAAATTTAGAGGTATGTATGTAAATCTTCCAATTATATATTTGTGCGGAACACTCTATTTCCTCACATTTCTCTTCCAACCCTTAGAGTCACAAAAACTAACTCCATTTGCTTGAAGTGGTGTCTTAAATCAAATAAATCAGTAGTTCTTGAGATAAAAAAAAAATTCAAGCCAGTGTAAAGCCTGCATTTTAACCAAGAGAAACAGCACAATTAAAGAATATGATAAGAAAAGCACATTGCTTTAAATTGTTATTAATATTCTAGACAGAATAAAGCACCACAATAACATGTTCTACAAATGATCTGGAGGAAAAACAATGACCAAAAATTAATATCAAAGCTTAAGATATTACTGAACGCTGGTACAAATAACATCTTAGTTTCAAAGAGCCATGATGAAGCTCAAGTTTACCAATTTCATTCCTTTCCGTCAGCAGCACGGAGAGAGCCAAGCTGAACCGGAGCTTGAGTTCCAACAACCTTTGATGTCCCATAAATGGACAAGTCAACACCTTCTCTTTTCTCCTTCTCAATTTGCTCCTTTATCCAGAAATATGTGATCCTCAGTCCATCCTGCAAAATTCAACAAAAAATATTGTAGCATTGGGCAAATCTGTCAAATCTGCTCAGCCTGCAGCAGTAGATTGAGTACCTTCAATTTCATGGTTGGAGCCCAGCCAAGCTTTTCCTTGATCAGATTATTATCGGAGTTACGGCCTCGAACACCCTCAGGACCAGGAATGTGCTGAATTGGAAGCTTCTTATCATCGAAGCTAAGGACTATTTCAGCCATCTCATTCATGCTGACCATCTCATCACTACCGATGTTTAGCGGCTCACGGAAATCCGACTTTGTTAATCTGATAAATTTAATTTCTATATTTAAACTTCTAGATTTGTTTACCGATAGCAATCTATGTAGAAACTAAGCAATGTAAATACAGCAAACTTTCGAAATTTTACCTGAGAACACCTTCCACACATTCATCTATAAATGTGAAGGACCGCGTCTGGAGGCCATCCCCCCACATTTCAAATTTGTCTGTTGAAGTAATAGCCTTCCTACAGAAGGCTGCCGGGGCCTTCTCTCTTCCACCTGAGGTAAATTACCAAAGTAACATGATAGCATCAATCTTTAAAGGCTGAATTGCAAGTAGGTCCACACAGAAAATTCAAATTTTGAATCATGCAACAGTTCAAAGGCGTACCCTTCCATGTGCCAAATGGGCCATAAATATTATGGAATCTCCCTATTCGGCATTCAATACCAAAGTCCTTTGTGTAGTGCTTGCACAATTCCTCACTTGCAAGCTTCTCCAAGCCATAAGCATCTTGAGGCTGCAAAACAAATCAAAAGATAAAATAAAATAAAATAAAAGTCTTTATTTTTGAATTCGAAAAAACTCAAAAGCTTTTTGCTTGCATTTGTATCTTGCAAGGGCTTATTTGGTTGCTAGTAGATTAAACACACGTTTTAGAAAAATAAAAACTTCATTTTTCATCGCTTTTGAAAAGGTTTGAAGGTATTTACTTAATTTAAAACCAATATTAGTTAGTAAAACGTCCAGCCAAATGACTGAATCAACTACATTAACTGTATTCAAATCTTGTTTCCCGACTTCAGACAGCCAGATGGGTCTTAAGAACAAAAGAATACAGCTAATTTTAGTAGAGAGACAGCAACAAACCTCAGCAGGCCATGCATCAGACTCCTTCAGGCTCACATTTGTTTCTAATTGCTTGAATTCAGGGTAGATACAAGCACTAGACGCATAGAAGAACCTGCATCCCAAAATTTTATAAAACATACATAATAAAGAATGTATTAAACCACAGAAACTGCTTTCAACATTCTAACAGAGATTTTCATCAAATTCAGATACTGAAAATTATGTAAAATAAACCAGAAAACAAGCTTAAAAAAGAAAGAAAAAATTCTACAAACCTCTTAACCCCATTAATCCTGGCAGCCTCAAGCATGTTGAAGCTGATCATGGTGTTGTTGTACATAATCACAGAATGGTTTGATTGAATGAAACCCATCCCTCCCATATCTGCAGCAAGATTGAAGACATGGTCCACACCCTGAGTAACCTTGAGGCAATTGTCCATAACCCTCAGATCCACGAGATGGAACTCATGGCAGAACATATCCTCCGTCATGTGCTCATTCTTCTTCCAATCGGAGGCAACGATGTAGTGTCCCTCGCTCTTCAAACGCCTTGCAATGTGAGAGGCAATGAAGCCTCCAGCCCCGGTGATCGAGATACGGAGCTTCTCTGAGGGCCAGTAAGGCTCCCTCTCCAAGTTAGCATAGGTGTGCTCCCCATAGTTGATTCTATCGCTTCCAGTACTGCCCATTCTGCAACTAAGAAAACAATAAAATGGGCAACTAAGCCTTATTATCAACAAAAGAACGAAATGTGAGCGAGAAAAGGACGGAATATGCTATCATGAAGTTTTCATCTGGAATATTGATAACGAATACATTTATAATCAGCAGGAAAAGCTTAAAATTTTCCGTGAGGCCTTCGTCGTCGCATTGATTTGAAGGGATAAAAACAATTCTACTTTACGAAAATTTTGGAAAACAAACAAATTTTCCTTCAACAAAGTAAGAGATTAAATCCCGAGTAGAAGTGTCGTAATTAGAAATAAATGATTCCGAATAACTCCAGAAAAAAAGATGACATTTTCCATCGTAGAATCCATCATAATCGAAAACAAAAATAATAGAGCAAGAAAATGCAAAAGAGATTATTTGTTTGTTTTTTATGCAAGGGAAAAACAGAACTAAAAAAAATACTGTGCAAAGATTAGATTTTTATCTGCTGTTTATTGCAACAACAACTAATAATGAGAAAAATTCAAAGGAAAACCTGGAAAGGAGGGCACAAAACGAACAAAAATCAACCAGGCAGCGCAAGAGATCAGCCAAAAATTATAATAAATTTTAAAAAAATTAATTTAAAAAAAAAAAAAAAAAAAAAAAAAAACTTACCTGGTTAAAGAATCCCTATATGGGAGCAAAAGAGAAGGAGAAATAACTTGAAAATGGAGACGACACAGGCGCTCCGCTTGACCTTAAATAGAAGCGTGAAAAATGGAACAAAAATGAGAGGACCCAATTAGGCCGAATTAACGAGAATAAGAAAAACGTTTGTTTTGCCTAATTGCCCCGGCCGTATGTATGCCAATGGTGGCGTAGGGGCCGCGATGCTGCGGCACCGACGGTAAAATTATTAGTATATAGATATATATATATATATATATATATATTTAAAATTGGATCCCAAATATTATTGTGCGCATGTGTCCATTTTTGCGCCGGATGCTTAAAACCTTTTTTTTCCTGATTTTATTTTCTTTTTACAAATAGCAATGGTTGTGGCAGTTGGATGCAATGATCTGCTTGTATTTAAAATATATATTGATAATCTGAGATGATTCTGGTATAGGAGAAAAAAAGAGAAAGAATGAATCCTTTTAGGATATTGAATTTAAGATAGTTCTTTGAAGCATTGCTCGGGTCAACTCTGTCATCTGACCCAATATCTACTCCCTCGGTTCTTGTATTCGGTGTTGAACAAACTTGCTAGTGCAGTCCATATTTAAATATCTCATATGAGTTTATTTTCTCTAATGTACTTCTCTTCTTATTTTTGGCATATTTGACGTTCACCACACATTTTAAGATATTGAATTTAAAATTGTTCCGTGAAGTACACTCAAGGAATATAGTGTAGGCGAGAAAGAAAAAGAGAGAGAGAATGAATCATATTGGATTAGTCTAAATGGTTCATTAATCATTTGCTGTAGAAATGACTCATATTTATAGGCTTAGGATGCATTAAGTGTACTATTACCTGCTTGCCCACACTTAAATAAAGGCGTTCTAGAATATTTTTGTCATAAATAAATATATGAATAAATAAATGAATGGATAAATAAAAATATAAAATGAACTTTGGCTTGGTTGTCACCGAGGGCCTTCGGTCGGCCGTCTCCCTTGATCTGAATATTAGTCGATGCCCCCTTTCAAGGTGATTCATGTTGTCAATATGAAGTCAGGTTGTTGGACAAAGGTCACTTTATCGTAATCTGACATGTAACTCCATCCTTTAGCAGGAAGCTACTAGAAGGATGTGTTGTTGCCACATTGGATGGTCCTTTCTGGTCCTGAGGGGCTATCATTTGATAGGTTTTGTACATATTTTTAGAGGGTCCATGGTTAGGCATCAGAGCATGTGGGTTCACATTGATATGAACTTTACTTATGGTGGGTTATCTTTGACCATACTTGTCTTTCACTCCATAAGATTGCTTTTAGATTCGTGTTGGCATATTACGAGTGTATATGAATCTCTTAAAATAATTATAATACATTTACACTCTTTGACATTTTTTTAAGGAATTATTAAACAAGTTATTTTTTTCTGTATTTGATTATAAATAAAATAAATTTTAAAATTCTAATATTTATTATGATGCATGTATGACATGGAGCCCTTTCTCAGTCCAAAGTTATATATGTCGAATTTTTTGCTACTAACTATAGTAAAAAATTAGCAAAAACCCTACAAATCCAGAACCCTTATATTGAAATAAGTTTTTGTTGTTTATAAAGCAGCTTATGAACGGCGCACAAGCAGATTTTGCTATTGCTTCTCTATTTTACTTTATTAGAGATACTAAAAGATTATTTATGAGTTTCAACTTTAAAATTACTCATATTTACAGTGAAGGAAATTCATGTGCTAATTGGTTGGTCAAAACTGGGATTGATATAAGTCTATTGAATTTTTGAATAGAAATATCCATAATGACCTAAAATGCCTTATTAATTTGGAGAAAATATGTCTTTATGTCAGGCATTTGTAGCGCATATCTATTCTCAAATATTGAAGGAAGGGAGAGACATTTGTTCAGCTTCTATGTGTCAGGAGCTTAAAGGGAACAATTTGAGTTATTTAGGTTGGACACTTCTCTTTTTAGTGGATTTGAACTTGGTAGTTTGGTCGTATTGTTCTTAAGTTGGGTGATTGCTCTTTGGCTATAATAAGTGTGGCAAGCAAGCTATTTCTTGCTCATATGAGATAAGTTCTACATTTTTTTTTTCCTATTGTAGGAATTTTACAAACCCTTCGCCTATACAACTTATCATCTACCTCTTGTCAAGGGAGCTCTTTAATATTCTTTTAAAAACTAACAAGATGTCTGAGGAGTGGAAGAAGAGTATTTTGATCATCATTTCTAAGAATAAGTAAGATAAAGGGATGCACAAGAGTGTGCAAATTATAGATGAATTAAGTTGATGTGTCATGCATTAAAATTATGGGAGGGTAATTAAACACAAGTTAAAACGTAGTACAAAGATTTGGATTTATGTCGGGCAGGTTTACCATGGAAGCTATATTTGAGAAATTTGATGGAGAAGTTCAGAGATAATAAGGAGAATCTACATTTATTTTTTATTGAATTAGAAAAAGCTTACAATAAGGTTCTAAGAGATATCCTTCAGAGAGTTCTTGAGAAGAAAGGTATTGATATGACTTAGATTTAAGTCATTAAAGATATGTATACTAGAGTTGTTACTTGTGTTCAAACTGAAGGAGGATTGACCAAATATTTTCCTATTTTTGTTGGATTACATCAGGATCGGCTTTAAGCCCATGTCTTTTTTGCTTTAGTTATGGATGGTCTTGCTGGACATTTACAGGAGGATGTACCTTGGCTTATGTTTTTTGCTGATGATCTCCTTCTCGTATCAGGGATCGGCTTTAAGCCCATATCATTTTTGCTTTAGGGAAAAACTTAAATTATGGAGGTTTACATTGGAGTATAAAGGCCTGCAATTTACTAGAACTAAAACTGAATACATAGAATGTAATTTTAGTAGTAGTAGCTCTAGTGACAGAAGTGTAACTTTGGAACTTTGGGTATGGGTAATCAAATTATTAAAAGGTGTGAATGATTTAGATATCTCGGGTCTGTTGTTCAAAGCGATGGTGATATAGATGGGGATGTTAATAGTACAATTCAAGTTGTTTGATTGAAATGGAGGAATGCTTCGGGCCTTTTGTGTGATAGAAAAGTACCGCTTAGAGTACTGTAAGTACTGTTTAGACTGAAAGGAAAATTTTATAAGAGGGTGGTGAGAACTGCAACGCTATATGGCGTTGAATGTTGGTCTTTAAAAGAGAAGCATAATATTAATTAAGTGTTGTCGAGTGGTTACACTTATAGACAAAATGCGAAATGAATTTATCTGGGATAAGATTGGTGTAGCTCCAGTGACGAACAAAATTAGGGAGTCATCTTAAATGGTTTGGTCACATTAAACGTCGACCATCTGATGATCCAATTAGAAGAGTAGATGTTTTAGATTCGACTTATGTTAAGAAAGGAAGAGGTAGACCTAGGAAGACTTGGGCTAATTGTATAAAAAATGATCTTAATTTTTTAGAACAAAATGAAAATATGACACTAAATAGGACGCAATTGAGAAAAAGGATTCATGTAGCCGACCCCACGTAGTGGGATTAAGGCTTTGTTGTTGTTGTTGTTGTCTTGTCTAGGGAGCTCATTAGAATTAGGGAACCTAAAGATTATGAGCTCTATTAGCACTAGTGGTGAAATTTATGGTCCTGCCTTTAGGGTGTATCTAGAAGATGTTGGTGATTATTTGCTTCATTGAAGATTGTGCAGATTTGCTCTACAATTATCGCCATCTTAATGATTTTGATTGTGTCGTTCTATTTACTATTCCATTTCATTTTTGCAGTGTAGATTATGTTAAAATACCTGATTTTACTCTATTTTGATTCCCCTCTTTGCTTTTTGCTTCTTTTTGGGGACTATTTTGATTCCCACTTATAGACAAAATTTGCTGGTAATCTCTTATGTATTATCTTTATTTTCATTGATGGATGATCCAATAGATTTTTTTTTATTTTTATGTAAATTTCTATTTGGGTATTTTCATGGGGGTAATTGGAGGCTCGTCTAATGGCCTATGACTTTTTCTTTTTGATATATATATATATATATATATATATACTTTGCTGTCTCAGGAAGCTGTTGCGGAGAAGTTGTATAGTTGTTTGTTCTCTGCATTTAAAAACGGTTGTATGGCAGTAGTTTCTGAACAAATGATCAATCTGGCCTTATGTAGTAATATTATTTGTAATAGAACTATTATAGTCATATATTTGATACTTCAGAAGAAAAAAATTCACTTCAGAACGGTACAAATAGCTAAATAAACAGCTCACATAACTGTAAGTATCAACTATGCTACGAAAAAGAAAAGAAATAACAGGCATCACCCCAAGCCACAGCCACCAACTCAATCCACGACCAAAACTTTCTAGCTCAAGCCATACCCACCAAGAACATTTTTTTTTATCAAATCTTCATGCAAACCACCCAATTGATATGTATTCATCAATGTCAAAACCACAACCACCAAGAACTCCAAAGAACAAATCTAACGTCAATGCTCAAGCTGCAGCCATAGTAAGTTTTTTTTTTTTCCCTTTTCTTTGTTAGCTCGTCATGCAGACCACCCAAATGATATTTATTAACATCAATTACGAAGCCACAACCACCAATAACTCACTCAAACATATCTAACATCATATTGTTGAATACATCCCCAAACTACTTACTCAAAAATTTCTTTTTTTTTTCATATAATTTATCAAACAAAAAATTAAGCCGCTATGAACTCACTCAAACATCAAGCATTGACATCCATACCATCAAACAGTATTTACATATCTAACATCAAAAATCCAATGAACAAGCATTTGCATGGATACTTGCATTCAAAGAACGGTTCCTAAAATTTCTGTTGCTAAAAATGCAATTACTGTTAGGGAACAGAGAAGGAAGAGGAACCAGGTAGCATGAAAAATGCGGGAGAAGAAGAGGAATAGGAACTAGGTAGCGTAAGAAACGCGGGAGAAGAGGAGGAAAAGGAGCAAGAGATCACAGCTTTGTAGAGGAGTTTGACACTAGGATTAGGGCGGACTAATCGCAAAGGAAAGGAGGGCACTACGTAAAAAATAGAATAAGAAATGCTGGCTGCGGGGTCCGTGGGGTTGATCCCGCAGCCCGCATTTTATGATAAGTGCTCCGCGCCACTGGCCTACCGCCGCCCCAAACAGTGAGAGCTCACGGCTGGCCTACCGCTCTCTAAAT